TATCTTTATATCTTTTAAACGAATGTGAACAAAAAATATTTCATGACAATGAATGATTTTCTTATTCTTTTTTGTGTCAATGTAAATCTTGTTACGAAGAGTATGAGCGAAGCTGTTTATTTAAAAAATGCATATTTTTAATTAAACCATTGATTGCTCACTGAATTATTTAAAACGATCGAGGTAACATAGAAAACATTTTTCAATACTCAGAAGAAAGCAATAAAATGTTCGTATGAATCACATATTGATGAGTTTGTTTTTTATATATAACTTTTTTGTGTAAACTTTCTACACAATATTTGTACTCAGCTATTGAACTAGAGTATTGACCTCTACGATAGACCAACAGTATACCAGGTCGGCTAGGCGCGTGTTCCTGTGTTCACGATAATTTGGCACCTCTAGTTACCATTGGACGGTAGCAATATGAAAAATTCTATTTAACAATATGAATAAAGAAAGAAAACAATACATAAAAGATTGTGTTTTTTTTTACAACACATATGCTTCTGAAACAATTTTCTATGTACATATGTTTTTCTCGAAATAAATCATCAACGAAAATATATAATTATTAAGAGTGGATGTCGTTTGAGTCTCTTCTTGTCCGATACTCTCACTTGACGTTAAGCTGAGCTTCCGACAATGCTAGGAGTGTAACCAGGGCTCTCGATAGTTTTTAGAGGTAGCAGGTGCAAAGAAATAGACATACAGTCAAAGGCAATAGAAAGTGTTTAAGAAAAATTGTCTTCACAAATTGGATTAGTCTACTCTAGTTCCTTCCACATCGAGATCTATGAGTGCAATAAATAATGTTTTTCCATTTAGATTTGATTGTAAACTCTCTGTTTGGATTTGTATCTAAATTAGAACAAATCTATACAAATAGTTTTCGATTTATTAATAATTCTTTTGAATAAAACTTCATTGCCTTACAAATTTTTATTCTTACGAATAGAACAAAATTATTTTGTTTCTGAGGTTTTTGTCATTTATTTATTTTTTTCTGCAGATCATAAATATTAATTCTAGACTATATAAAAAAAAAAAAGAATGTCAAATGTCATTTTTTTTTGTAAATATTTATGATGATTTAGTTGGTGGTTTTGTATGTCCATCAAGTGTATAAACCCCATTGACTTTTGTTAATTGACATATTTCACAATTAGCAAATTGTTTACTTTTGTCTAATTCTTCAGAAGTCCAACGAAAATATCTCATAAGAAATAAACGCATAAATAATCCGTGTGATACAACAACAATATTTTGTGTTGGATAATGATGTCCAGAATCCATTTCACGAAATAAAGTATCAAGAAAAAGTGATGCACGATCATAAACATCAGCACCACTTTCACCACATGAAAAACGATAAAAAAAATGCCCACAACTTTTTTGTTCTTCTAATTCATATGGACGTTTTTGTAAATCAGCTATATTACCAAATTCTTGTTCACGTATACGTGGATCTTCACGTTCAGTTAGAATTTGTGATGATGAAAATGCTTTTCGAATATTCATCCATGTTTGTTTTGAACGTTGATAAGGACTCATATAAACATACATAGATTCATTACCAATTATTGAATGAAGTTTTTCACCAGCAGCAAGTGCTTGTTGATGACCTCTTTCTGTTAATTCAACTCGACTATCAGCAAGACGTGCACATAATGCTATTGAAAATAAAGGAAATTTGTAAAAAATTTAAAAAAAAAATTTGAATTTCTACTTTGATCAACATTTGCTTGTGATTCACCATGACGAATAAGAAATATACGTGCTGGTCGTCGATCACGACGAACCTTTTTATGATAATCGAATACTAAACAAATCAAATCATTTGTAATACGAATTAACCATCCAGTATAGAATAGAACAAAAGAAATAAGACCAACAAATATCAAACTAATTACTAATGCAATCATTGAATCTATCCACAATAAATCGTCAAATATTATCCATTGGGATGCAAAGTATTATATATAGCTGAAAAAATATTTTTTTTCTCTTTCCGCAACATAAAATGCATGCGTTGAATTCATGTCTTTATATGGCGAGAGAGGAAGAAAGAAGAGAAACAAATGACATAAATAGATGTTTGCACTTATAAACCTTTGATCACGTGTCGATTGGTTACAACGGGATCTCAGTACGAATGACAAACTATATGTTTTTTTATAAATGAATACAAATATTTATTTTGATTCTTTTGTCTTTATTTATTTCACGGTATGATAGAATTAGGTGAAAAATGACAACTAATATTTATTATATGACTTATTCAAGAATTAATATCTTATTATTTCTACTAATTGACCTTCAATAATCTCGTTTGTCAACAGATTATTTCTTGATTTTTTTTAAAGTGCAAATTCACAATAATCATTTGCATAAAATCGAAAATTTGCATTTTTACATATCAGAATGAAGATTAATTACATGTTATTGTATTTATTTATATTTACACAGGAATGTCCTGAGATCATCGAGATTAAGGAGGATATCGAGCGATTTTTTGAGAGTTCCTAAGCTCGAGTTTTACTGAGAAAAAACGAAAATTTCTCAAGATTGAGTGATGATAACTTTATATTTGCGATCTTTTTTTTTCTACATCGTTTCTCGATGTTAATCGGTACACATATGTTTTATCGCCTGAGGAGAAACAGAAAAACACTATTTTTCAAACTCTATGCTTTTATGTATAGTATCAAGCGTGTAAGAAAGTATTTAAATTAACTCAATGTCAATAATGGCAAAAAAAAATTATGTGTATGAACGATGTATTGATAATTTCTATATATAGCATGGATTTGTTTATTTCTAAACATACAATGTTTAATGTATGCATTCTGTCACATATTAAAATATGTTATTATTTTGCATACTTATTATATTTATTAAGTTTCTAACATATCTCATTAACCTTTTGGTTTGTGTTCTAAAAGTATAAAATAGAAATATATGTTATTTGTTTTTTCAATTATTTCTTTATCAATATGTTTACTTAAAAGAAAATATTTATTCATGAAAAAGACTGTGTCTTCAAATACGAACGAATAAAATATGAACATCATTAATCGATAATGATTCGAGCATTTTGAATGGAATACTCGTAAAATATGTAATATACTTAATAATAAAGAAATATCAAGATTCTTTGCATTATTCTTTTTGATAAGAGAATATTAATTGTTTTCTGATCATTTAGGTCAAATAAAAGTTTATTGTTAATATAATAGAAATAAGAGTCAGATTTAATTTATTCTTCAAAATTTCAAACAATTCGAATATTATTCATAACAGTAAAAAACGATTAGAAATATCTGACAAATTTTGAAACTATTCGAATAGATAATAATTATTATCATGATCGTACCTATCAACATCATATTATATATAATGAATAATTCTCAATGAATTCATTAAAATGAGATTGGAAATGTGTTAAATACTTACTCATATTCACCTATTTTAATAAATCTATTGAAACAATGTAAGGGAAGCCCCTACTTTCTCGACTAGAAATTTTTTGTTTTTTTGTTTTTCGTTTTTTGTGTGTGGTATGTGGATTTAAATGTCCTCTATCTAACGAACACATTTTAAGAAGACAAAACTACCTTTTTGCATGTGAAAAATTCAATTTTATGCTATAAAAGCCAAAAAATGCAATTTTCTTTTCGTTTTTCTCAAAATCACATTTTTAAACAAAAAGTTGAAGTTTTCCCTTCCTTTTCTTCTAAATGGTAAGACCGATTAGGCTCAAACTTTTTTTAATGAATACTTCGATGAAATTGGGGTGCGTGTTTATTTTTCTCTTGAAAACATTGTACCTATGAAATTTGGCAGGTATTATAAAATAAGTACCTTACGAAAAAAAGCTTTTTTTTAATAGTTTTTTGATAGTGCCTCCATTGTCTTAGTTCTCTTGAGCCTCAGGAACAGTATTTTTCAAAAAAAACACGCACCCAGATTTATTCCTAGCTGTTGCATGAAAAATTTCAGCTCAAAAGAATGTAGTATGACCGTTTTCCGGAGGGAAAACTTCAGGCCATTTCTGACTCTTGGCCTTCCAAAATCTCCCTGAAGAAAGCATTTGGCAATTCTGAGCCTATGACAACTTTTATTCTACTCATCGAGATTTATCTATCCTGAAAGTTTCAAAAATTTTCACCTAACCGTTCTTAAGAAATATCGGAAAGGGGTATCCTCTTAATGGTATTTTATATAAGATCTTTTGAAATAAATTATTCGATCGAGAATTTTACATATTAAGAGTCTGAAAAATCGATTGTAATATTTAATAGTATTGGTTGAGTTCTGTCGATATGAGTATGTTAAAAATAACTTATTTGCATATTTAACTCTATCAGAATCTGTAAGAACTTCTTAGATATTGAATTCTTTTTCTATCGATAAATGCCAAATACTGCTCCAACTGGGTCATATTCTTATAAATAGTGGTTTTTTTTTAGTCTTATGAAGTTATAGTTTCTACGCGTGCGATAGCGAGATATTCTTCATTGACTTTTCAACTTGAAATTTAATGTCTGATAAAGCATTTTTGCTCTAATCACTATACTTGAAAGTCAATTTGTGTCTTTTTTGACTAATATTTGATGGTTTTCTTGCAGAAGAAACTTCATTTGACTTCAAACAAACATCATATTTGGAATCAACATAAAAAACTTAGTCGGATTATGTTTGTTTCTGCAACTTTTTTTTCGGTCAAAATTCGACCTCTGATCCCTAGACAGCTGTGGATCCTTCCAGGCTCGGATCAGATTGGGTTTCAATCCAATCTTTTAGTTTTTGTCGGACTCAATTACACATTTTCGTGGATCTACTGTTCCCTAGATGAGGAAAAAGTATCATCAGAAAAGGAAAATAGAATTACATATTCAATAAAAAAAATCTCGCTGATTCACGTGTAGAGACTATAACTTCATGAGACTGAAAAAATCACTATTTGTAACAATATGATCCAAATGTAATATTTGGCATTTATCGATAGAAAAAAAATTCAATATCTAAGAAGTTCTTATAGATTCTGATAGAGAAAGATATTCTACATTGAATGAACCGATTTTCAACGAATCTAACTCGAAATTTAATGGACTTACAAGCAAAAAAAATGGTTTTAAGACTTTCAGAGAATGCTTCTTATTATCTGACTACTTTTGAAAAAAAATGATATTTGCAATCAGCACACTTAGCTCTATCGAACTCTAAAGACTTCTAATACCATGATGATGAAAATTTTTTTTCGATACCTGAGGGACTCTAGGTGTGAAAAATTCACTTACGGCAAAATATAAAATAAACTTGTGAAAAATAATCGGAGTTCAATGTTGATTCTCAGAATAATAATGGTCAGATTTTTTAGGACGCGAGGTACGCACAGTAAAACATCTACTAGTAAATATCTCCTAATTATGAACGAACTTAGATTCGACGGAGTGGTTTTTGCTGAAAATGCCTCCCTATTTTGAACAGTGAACACTGTTTTTTGCGATTCCTCTTGCTATTAAAACCTGTTTATATGCATTCAATGAATGGTCTGATAAACGTGAAGAAGAGTCTTATAACATCAGTTGCTAATGAGTAAGATCATTGTGCCGATGATGATGATCGTATGTCAACAAAATTATCATCAAAAATAACGGAAGCAATGGAAAGGATACAAACAGCTCATTTATTAGCAACAATACAATAAACAAAGAGACACCGAATCCGAACCCGAACGTTTGGATTCAATGCATACTATTCATTAAAATTAAAATGTTGTCTCAACTAAAAATTTTTCATCTTGAAATTTCAAACTCACTTTTCTGATTTATTTTTAATCCTCTATCAAAAACTTCCGTTCTATTGTCAAGATCATGCCAGTTACTAGCATCATACAACTGTAAAAAAAAACTATGTATTAAGAAATCTTTAGATATATGAAGTCTAATATAAAAACTGTAGTTTGAAGTTCACTTCATCTGCTTGTCGACACAATTCTTATAAAAAAAAATCATATCTTCAGTCAAAATAAAGTATAAATGTTGTTCAATATTAGTTAGTGTGAGTTATTAAATGAAACGCTGGCAAAGAATTATTCGTTAGTTCATAGTGATAGTGTATATGAAACATAGCAGACAAAAATAGGATTTTTTACTATTAGAAAGTCCACGAATTATATGAGTTTTATATTGTATGTCTTCGTGAGATTAAAGATTTCTCAAAAGAATTAGTTAGTTAATTCATCGGACTCTAGTAGTTATTCACCGGTTATATGTTAAGAATTTCATTCGACCAGTCGAAAACAAAAACCTTCTGTCAACTCCAAGTATGTTTTAAATATTGTCAATAAATTTATGTTTCGACTTGTGATTGTTATCCTTGAAGACTGATTCATTCGTTTATTGAATTGATGAAAATATTTTTATATCAATCTACAGATATAATAACTTGTACATAAAACTGATAGGAAAAATAAATATTTCTTATAATGTCAAATCACTTCTTTTCTTTTTTATAATATAATGTACATCTAAAATCGATGACAGAATAAAAAAAAGAAAAAGAAACTAGACCACTATGCTGTATATACAATCAACCGATATGAATCAGCGATGATTCGGTTTTTTTTTGTATACGTCTTAATGATTACAAATATGTTAAAACATATACGCTGTCTATTTAGTACATATTTTCAGTTGAATGAATACGTAAACGGCCAGGATAAAAGGTTATTTTTTGCTTCATTTTTGCCTTTCTTTTTTTTTGAAGAGATAGTTATTATATTGTGACTTGTTGATTCTTTATTATTCATCGTATTTTGTTTGGTATTATATAGTAGGCAACTAGTAACGTATTTGAATAAATTTCATTTATCAGTTTCTATTTTGATATTAAACAATAACATTGATATGCAAAACGAATACTTATTATCATCAACTGATGCAAGTATTAAAGACACAATACCAATTATCCTCGATGTTACCAATGATGATACATTAAATTCCAATAATAATGACAATCATTTAAACATTTGTCAAAATGATCAACAATCGCCAAAATCTTCTTTATCTAAGACAGATGATTCTTTATGCGTAAAAGAATATCAATTGATTGATTCCAGTATAAAATTTCAATCAAATTCAGAAGATGTAGAAGTTGAAAATGAAAAAGTTATTAAACGTGAATTACGACGTAAGAAAAAACGTCAAGCAACACGAGTACGGAAAGAAAAACATGATTTAGAAAAACAAATTCGTGATTTAGAATTTAAACAAAATAATTTATTATCAAAAGTTGAAAATCTTCAATTATATAAAGAACAACTTGAAATAAGATGTAAACAAGTTCATTCAAATTATAAACTATTTGGATGATTGGTGTAATTATATAGAAAGAAAAAACTTTGATCGAAAAAGAAATATGCCATAAAACATACCTATTAACCGCAAAGATAAAGGAAAAAAAAATATCGCTTACTAGTATAACTGTAGTTACTTTGAATGTAATACTTTTTCTTGTTGTTATAAAAAATAAACTAATATCGATAATTGCATATTACTCCTTAATTTAGTTTATCGATTCATGATTTTTTTTTTCTCCTCAAAATGTATCTATTTCTAGTGATGATTGGCTTGTTTCATTACCTTTAATATCGTTATATCTATATATATATACAAATAAATTAATCATTAAGCTTATTGTGAGTTTCAAATATGTATTGTATCATAAAATAAAATTCTATGTTTATATTTTTCAAAAAAATGAAGTTCGATAGAAAATGTGATGAAAGTTAAGAAAGAACTTTGAAGATCGGTTCCTTTGTTTTTTTTCCACCTAGGTAAAACCTCTCTAATATGAACACTATCAAGGCCAACCAAAAGTGCTTATTATTGGGAGATGGTGTTTTAGTTGCAATCGATTTTCGACTTCACAAAGATGATCGTTTTTTTGTTGTTTTCAATAAACTAAATAATTCAAATTTTTTAATCAGAGGTAAATCAGCAAGTATTCACATGTTACTAGCTTTTAACAGAAAAAAAACAACGACATGTTACACTGCTACTGTTGTTTAATATTATTTTCTTTTTTTATTTTAAATATTCACGGCTGGTTCGTTTCCTATGTGCCCTATGATTGTTAATCATAAGTCAATACAAACATAACACCATTTCTTTTTTGCGTTCTACTCATGAGTGATAGAGCACATGTTCCCTATATTACAAAGGTTGTTATTGTATAGAGGACCAGAAATAAACACCTACTATTCATAATAAAAAGGTATTCATATTTGAATGGCTCACTCCTTGTAAAATTTGCTTAGGTAGACAATAGACTGCCGAGCATAAGGCGATCCCATAAAGAAGTTTTACTATAATATTATTTACATTCCAGAACGAAGAATGCTAAATATGTATATACTTCGTATTATGCGTGAAGCAATACAAATGTAATAGTGAGTCATGTAATATACTAATTTATAATTGTTTACGGGCGTGCTTGTTCGAAATCAATTGAATATTTTACGTTAATCATCGTGAAAAATTACACTAAATTATTATAACTTAATTAATAGAATGAAAACTATTTCTAATCATAAAAAATAACTATTCGTATGTGTCATATGTAAAGCATCTCGTGTTGAATAACTATTATTTTTCGAGAAAAATAAATGTATCTCTTTTTAAATATTCAATATATTTTATTTATGATTACATATCTCAATTATAGGGTCTACTGTAAATTCATGGAAAAATAATTTTTGATAAAATAATTGTAATTTTTTAAAGTGGATTCTGATGAAGTTCATACATTCAGTATGATTGTATTTAAGGGTACCCCCCCCCCTTCTTTGTGACCAAATACTTTTCTTGGGAGTCATTGTATAGTCTGAAGTATTATCTATCTATTGAATACATTTTGAGATCGAAAACTATATATTGTTTCATATTTTTCTCAAACCAACTTTTTCATGAAAGCTTTTTTTATTTAAAAAAATATTCTTCCAGTGAAGTCATTTTTCACTATTGTGATCCCAGTATTTCATAGAAGACAGCATCCCAGAACTTTGAATCTATGACAACTTTTGTTCTATTTGTCAAGATCTATCTGCTCTGAAAATTTCAAATTTTTTTGATGAGTTGTTCTTGAGAAATCCTGGAAAGGAGGAACAATCCTTAAGTACAAAAACCTTCCAATACAATCTTTCAGCTCAAAATTCACAAGAAAAAAATTTTATTAATATTTGAAATGAAAAGTATTAACAGAAATACTGAAATGCGTGTTCGAGTGAACCGTGATGTTGCACAACCAGTCAACAAGATCCGATCGACTCTATTTTTTTATCCTATGGATATAAAACGTACAAGCATCATTGATTAAACATCATATATGCAAGTTCAAGATCTAGTAACAATAGACAAATTTGAATAGACTTCAAATTTGATTAATCTTTTGAATAGAAATATTCATCATTGATGTAATTGAAATGTGTCAGATAATGAAGATGGTATAGTTCAAGGAAAAAGAATTCATACATTTTTCGATACAAATGAATACAATAGAAAGTGAGGGAGAGAGAGAGATATTGCAATTATGAAAAACAAAATCTACTGTGTGCCACCATCATTTGAGCGATTAAGATAAAAAAGAAATTTATCAGAGACTAATGAAAGAAAATAAAAGGATATTGAGGCAAGAATCGAGATCATAAAAAAATACGAAATAGAGTCTATTGGAATCAATATTTCGAACATATCGGGCAATAGTTCGTTTATTAACAATGCCAGTTGTGTCTGCCATGATCGTAAGTGATACGTCAAACTCTAGAATGGAATAAATAATAGTTCGATCAAGAGCAATTTTATGTGTCTTTTTTTGCTTGTTCAACAAATCTAGTTTATATTCTAGTTTCTCTTGTACTTAGAAGAAAATTGGAGGTATGTTCAGATTTCCGAAAAAGGAAATTACAGAAATTTCCGAAGCTCCCATCAACTCGATAACTACATAACAAAGCAAATGGAAAGTTTTTGGAAATATTGGAAATTTCAGAAATGACATAATTTTGGAAACTACCAAACAATTTAGAACACAAGTGTTTAAAATTTCCGAAACTTCCGAAGTTTCCTTTTTCGGAAGTCTGAACACTGCTGATTCATATCAATCGATCACGAGTTTTTCTAGGTTGATACACTACATGCAATATCATGAATAAGAGCACTAGCACTGCCCCAAAAACCAAAAATAGAACTGATTAGTTCGAACTTCGATTTGACGTTTCTATGACATTACATGAGAATTCAACTTGATTAAATATGATTAATGATTCTACCACCCGTTCCACACAATTGAATTTCTATTGATAAGAATACATATGTTTGATGTTGAATAATCAATCTTGGATAATTACTCAATCAGTATTTCTATTATAAGCTTGATATCAAAGAAGTCAAAATTTGTTAATTCGAATCTCAAACAAGAAATATGTTGATTAGAACTCGAAACTAACCCAAGTTCAATGAAAAATAAATTTTAAGCTACTTTGATGTTGATAACAGAACTTCTATTCTGATGTTTCTATTGTAAGAATGTTCATAAGAGATGAAAATAAACTGTAGCACTACGAATATGTTACTTTTTGATCGTAATGTAGACAAAATAGAGAATGTACATAAGACCAGAAATCGGTCTCTCGATTTATTATAATTGACAGAAAAGTCATATAATTAATTTTGACCAATCAATTATAAAACAAAAAAAAACAGAACCACATCAATTAATAAAACAAAGCAAAAAAATTAATTTGCTTTTTTAAAATTGTGAATTTATTTGTTACTATTATTTATTGTCCGCTGGCATTTCGTATTCTTTTTTCAGCGCTTCCTCCTACAATACTTGATATTATTAAATAAAATTAAGTAGAATATAATAAACTGACCTCTTCTGGTGTAAAGTCATTTGGAATTTTAAATGTTTCTCGAATCTGTTCAGTAGTTTTCCCATTCATCATATCAGCTACTGTCTTGCATATAATATCAATTAGTTTTGAGATATCTAAATAATTCGCTGCCTGAAACAATGTAAGTTACAGAAAAATGTAATATAAAAAAAAAAGAAACAAACTAAAAGAAGTTGAAAGAGACTATTTTGATCAATTTTAAGAAAATCTTGATCCCATTTCGATATTTCAATCTTTTTCCTTTCACCATAATCTTCATCGTCATCGAATGATGGTACATCGTCTTTATGATGAGTCAGCCATTCAATAATCTAGATTTACGATTAAAAACAAAATTATATGTTTATTTTCATCAACATGCCAAAAAGCTAGATGAGGGGGGACTATACGAAATAATTCAATGAACTAAGACTATGAAGAATATGTTGATTTAAGACGAAATGACAAGGAGTGATAATGAAGGTGGGAGTGTGAAGTGAATATAAGACGTATCCTCTTGCTAGAAGATGCATTTTGAAGATTACCACAAAGCAATGTTTCGGTTTGGTATCACAAATCTTGTGAAATTTTCTGATAAAAAAAAAAAAGTTTCTTATGATGTAGATGCATTAACTTATAAAAAAAATTTTGTTGAAGAGTTTCTATAGCCAAAATTTAGTTGATTCTTTGTGTCTATCTCCATTCTCGTTATTGTCTTCTGAATATTTCTCGAAAATAATAATATTGTTTAAACTATCATATGGAATATTTTACTCATTCATTTTAATATCAACATATTGAAAGTCATCAATATTGTGCTTGAAAAGACAGCAGAAAAACATTTCTTACTTTCTTCAAGTTAGCCGAATCTACATTTGGTAGTGGAATGGTTGTTCCTTCTGCACCACCGCAATCTTCAAAGAAAAAAAAAATTGAAAAATTGAATTCGAAAGAAGAATCTCTTACTTTCTAAGGCATACTTGATTGTTTTCGATTCTTCAATAATATCAATATTGATATCGAATTTTTGTTTATCATTAGATTCTAATGTAATTTGACGATTACTCATTGTATTATACTAAAAATTTTTGTTTGAGTAATCTAATGTAAGAATTCAACGACTAATCTAAAAAGATATTTTTTTTTACATGTAGTTTTCTTTTGCAAATAATTAATTGCAGAATAAATTTTGGTTTTCATTCTTTGTTGTTGAATCGATCGAAGTATTGAGAGTTAGTTCTTCAATTTCAGAAGTGATATTTGAGAATTTTAATTATATTTTAGCAGTATACTTCCATGGATAGTCAACGACAAAAATTTGTTTAAAAAAGTTTTAATTGTAGTCTGTGAGTATTCTCTTTGAAATGATCTGTACCCAATGAAACAAAGAATTACTTGAAAAGAATTACTGCATTAAAAATAAAACAGAACTGACTATAACAGAATCAAAACACACACATATATATATGACACATGAAAGCCGAGAGAAAAAGAAAAAGAATGTTATTGCAGATAAAATACTTTCAAAAGCAAGTATAACAAAAGAAAGAGAGTGAGAACGATGTGATCGTTGACACAGTCTATATTTTCTAATACCTTGTGGTGGTCCTTTTCGTATAAAATTTCTAACACTTCATCAACAAATGACGTTATTTCGATCAAAATGAAGAAAAAACAGTTTAATTGCTTTAGGTTCTTGACATTTTTCAATATTTTGATCCTAACGATCAATGAAAGTATCCATCAAAAAAGCATAATATGAGCGTAAATAATATCGAAGAACAGAATACTAAAAACTCTAGCTTTCTCCGTTCTAAGTGTATCCTAACTACTTTCAAACATCGAAAAGTTCGATATAAATTTTTCTCATGTCTCGAATATAATACTTGATGTCTTGATACCATTTTCAGTTTTTACTCTTAATAACATTTGATCGTTTTTCAACTTCTCTCATTAAGAAAAATATTTTTAGTAGAAAGAGCAGTTATTTTTTACCTGTTTACGTTAGCAAGCATCAACAAAAATCTGTTTTTTTACTTGAGTTTTTGCGTTATAGACTTGATGAAAAGGAACATTGCTGTGATTCATTCTGTGGGATTAAAAGTATTTTTATTATTGACACAACGTCACGTGAGCACCGAAGGCAAAAAACCAACAAGAGAAACACACTTGCATATAAGATGGTGAAATATCGTTACAATGATGACTAAGAAAAGTTGAGAGTTGTGAAATTTTTCATGTTGACATTCATACAAAAAAAATTTTTGCTTAATATATCGACGATGAGAAAATTGTGAAATGGTGAGAAATCATTGAGGAATAAACTCAATGAGAATGTTGAGTTCTCTAGATGAAGACTAAGGGATCTGAAACTAAAACATGACCTTAATCCTGTCTCATAAAGCAATTGCAATACAGAGACTGCTCATTGAAAATATTCTTATTAATTCTAACCTTATCGAGTATTAACTGTCCATCAGACAGAGTTCACCCTTAGTATTCAAACCCAAAGACAATTAATAATGAATTCAACCGAAATACAAGGCAGATCATGGATAAATCATAATATGATTCGAAAAAAGAATGAGAACAGATAGTTTCCCATCTAAAATTCTTTACTCACTAAATTTCTTTTGTCAAATCTTGCTGCTAAATTTACGCAAACACGAGCATGTGTCAAAAACAAATCACTGCATCCAGGACAATAATAATATTTTTCTATTTTTCCTTTTTTTTCATTCGCTGTGGATGAATGATTTTATATTTTTTCTTTGCTTCCTCTTTTTATTATAAACATTGAGAGAAGCGAGACAGACTCTGACTCACTATTTACAGAAAAGAAAAAGAAAAAAAAATTAGCCAAAAAAAAAGAAAACTGAAGACTATATACAGGTAATCAAAACAAAATATCGAAATAATTTCACTTTCATATTTTTCAATTTATGCATTCGCCGAAGTAATGAGCGGCCTATAAAGAATAAAGATCTGCGTACGTGCTCAATATATCGTCTCTAGTTTTCACTGATGCAGACTAAACTTTTTTCAAAAACTTCAAATGCTTATTTTATGCAATAAAGTTTCATCATAGAAATTCTTGAACATACTAATTCGATAGAGTTTTTGAAGTTCTACAAAATCGATAGTACAATTTGTCCATGTAGTCCGATATAAATAAAGGACAACTGTATTTTTGTATTTGAAAGTCATTGATGTTATATGTCAGTACTATTACTATAGTAACTATTTTTGCTTGTTTTTATGTCTATGATATCTATTTGTATATAGTTTTATAGAGAATTATATGCTAAATCTTTTGACAAAAAAAGAAAAAGTTCTGTCAGAATCTAGGAAAATTGGAGAAAATATGAAAACTCTCATTCTTTGTGAGCTATCGATTATGCTTACTTTATTCTACATGGATAAAAATTTGTAATAAAAATTAAAAATAAAATCGATGTGCGATGCAATTTCACATTGACGATAGAAGAATGACAAGTTTTTCAACTTTACACTATCATATGATTATATTTAATTCTCAATTTTACGAATTTGAAATATTTCTCTAATTAATTGACGATTCTTAATCGATAATTGGAATCAGTGATTAAATTTGATTTATCGTTGATTTTCGAAAAATTATATGTTGTATCACAATTACGATAAAATCTGATTTAAGCACTGATTTTTTACGAAATACGAGTAATCATGATTTTACGTTGGCTTTTTTTTTTTGATAATCACCACGATTTTCACGGTATGGACTCTTTTAATTAACTACATAGAGATATGGCGTGAATTAAGTATTGTCTTCTTGTTTGATTTTCATTGTAAGCAATACCGACTTAGTCTAGAATAAAACTAAATGTTTTGAAAGTCCGTCAAAACTGTCTGCATCCATATGTTTACATAAAATAATATAAAATCTTATTCTTTGAATATATTCTTTGGTAGCATCAACAACAAAGGAAGTGAGATGTTTATCAAAGTGAACGATATAGTCGAAAAAACTACTCTATTGTCAAGAAATGTGTCAATTATTTTTCTTTTGCTTTTTTCGCTATCGAACTTTATTCGAAAGCTCGTAGAATAAAACATTGCCTACGAATAGAATACTGTGAAATTGTTTTCCAAAAAGATTAAACGGAATAATGGTACACGGAAGGTAATGAGAAGCATGGGTATGGAACTCTCCTTTTCTAACACCGAAACCATAGCTGATAATTTCCTTTTTTTATTTTTATTTATTTATTCAAAGTATTTATTTTCTACGATGCATAGCTTCACAAGTGAAATGTCTGATATCTATTGATTTTATATAGTTTGAAGTAAATCGGTATGATATACATAGTACTGAGTAATCGTAGGATTTTTAAATGATAAATACTTTATAACACTATCATCAAAATGTTGCTTTTATTAATATCAAATGAAGATGAATAGGTAATGTATCAATAAAAAGGTCCTTTACTAACATAACATTAGATGGATGTGAAATCTTGATTCCATTAGGTATACCAAAAGTTCCACTCTTGAATCCAGGTCTTCAATCCATCAGTAAACCGCTAAATTTATCAAGACCATATACTAGTTCACTTTTGTTACCACAAAAATGCATTTTTTTCATATTGCAATATGAAATAAAGTAGAATCACGAAAGACACCAAATTCCATCCGTAAACCATCAAAAGATGGTTTTATCATATCTTTATATGAAGAATTATGAAATATTGTATGAATAGAGTAACTTCTTGGAATAAATCAATGAGACACAAAAAGCTATTTTCGAGTATTCTCAATGAACTCGACTAAAGTTAAATAGTTTTTTCGATATATATATGACAGTTTTGAAGCATCACTTTCATTTGTATATGCACTTTTATTATCCAATTTTTTTCGCTTGTAATTTTCTTAATTGCTCATGTATAAATATAATTCCATCAGTTCGATAACATAGTTTTTCAGATGGATTAAGTAATTTCATGAAATGCTTCATAATAGCTTTTCTGATAATAATATGTGATTTCGATATAATAAATAATAATTCAGAACATATAAGAATCACCAATAATAGCAATGATTTTTTTTCCCTTGATTATTAATCCTTTTCAATAGTAATCATAACTATTTTTCTCGTATACTTTGCTTAGTTATGCTGATATTTTCAATAATCATCAAGTTGCTTGATACAGCATCGTTCTAAATTCTATATCATATTTATGAACAGATTTTGAATAAAAATCTAATTATCTGAAAATATCGAAAAAAAAAACATAAGTAGAGAAAGTCAATAATCAATTCAAGATTTTTCGTTGATGCTGTCTAAAATATCAAGTTAAAAAGGGAATGAGTAACTCATATACAATTCGATAATTTAATCACTTATTTAAGATATAGGAGACTTTTGTAAAGCTCACCAGCGTAAAAGGTCAGAGATCTACCCAAGCAGACAAAAAAACACTTATGAAAATTTCGACCATTTGCGAGTGCTAATCACGGTTCCCAATTATCATTCAAAAAAGGCAGCGGGAAACTGATCACTTCTTACACTAAGTAAAATTTTTGACAGTTTATGCGTTACAAATTCTTAGTCAATCTGGCATCTACTTACTGTAAATATTTCTCACTCACAATCGAGAACCGCGATTAACATCTTAAAACACTCAGATTTTCCGTGCTTTTACACGCTTCTTTATTTTTTCTCTATCTTTATGCCTTTTCTTATATGTTTTTTCAATGAGCTTTTTGTTCATGTATATGATTCATATAATATTAATAAATGATAAGTAGACAGATAGATCTGTCTCGTTACCTGTTAACTTACTTACAAACCCGTTTAGCAATCAATCTACCTATATAATTACTTATCTATGTAATTGCCTATCTATCCAACTATCTTAAAAAGCAATAAAACAATTAACAGATCGTTAACAGAAATAATAAAGTCAAGAAAACATCTTCAAAGTCATTCATTTATGATAATAATAAATGGTATTAAAAAGACGTACATTTTTCATTGAAGAAAATCGTGCTGAGTCATATACAATACTAAAATAAAGTGCTTAAATCATT